GCTCCTCGAGAGCACCGGACGGACGACAAATTGCTCCTCAGCAGTGCGACGCCGAGCTGGAGGCTCGGCCGGGAGCTCGCGCGGGCGCGTGGAGCTTTCCGCTCGGGCCAGCAGGAAACGGGCGCCCCGCACAGCGACGCCCGCCGTAGAGTGCCGAGAGCTCGGCTCGACGCGAGCGCCGAGGAAAAGCGATCGGCTCCCAAGCAGTGGGACGCCGAGCTGGAGGTTCGGGCGGGAGCTCGCGCGAGCACATAGCAAGGTGCGTGCGCGGCGGCGTGACACAGGTGAGCGGGCAGCTGGCGCACATTTCGGCTGTGGGAGCTGCCAGGAGTTTGCTCTCTCCGTTCACACCCCTTTGCAGAATAAGCGGCCGAGGCGAGCTGCGGCGGATGCAGCCAGTGGTGCGCTCGACGGCGCAGACACCGCGGTCGCGGAGCTGAAAGACGTGCACGCATCGCAGTCGATTGCGCTCACATCCCATGACGCGCTCGCTGCGATGCTGTGGCCTGCACATACTGTTGTGGTGACACTGCACACGAGCGAGCGGCCTTCGTGTCTGCCGGGAGGCGTGGTACATATTGGTGCGGCATTCGACGACCGCGCCGACTTTGACGACGTCGCGATGACGAGGCGCCTCGACAGGCTGTGCGCTTACACGTGGGCGGCCGACGCGGCACGCGTGGTCTTTGTCTGCCACGCTGGCGTCAACCGCTCGAGCCTCGCGTTGTGCTACTACCTCCAAAAGTACGGCCTGGTGGGCTGGCAGCAGGCAAAGGACGCGCTCGTTGCCGCCAAGCGCGGCGCCGCCAGCGGCTGGCCAACGCTGGAGAATGGAGCGTTCGTGGCGTACCTCGTTCGGCACTTTGGGAGTGCGGCCTCCTCGTCCGCTGTTGGCGATGGCGCTGCCTCCGCACCTGCCGCCGCAACTCCCGTAGCGCCGCCGCCACCGCGCTGGTTCTGGCGCACGGTTGCCACCGCGCGCCCGAGTACCGGCGGGCCGGGCGCCGATCCGGAGGAGGCGGCGCGGCGGCGGCAAGAGGCGGACGAGCGCATGCGCAGCCAAGGCGTCGACCCGCGGACGGGCCGCACTTGGGGCTGCTGGGAGCGCGGCCGGCCAGGTGGCATCTGGGTGCGTGGAGTACCGGGGCAGCGAAGGCCGTGGGGCGAGTGTGGTTGAGTACTTTTTGGTAGAAACATAGTAACTACCGTAACTAGTAGCTCGAGTACCGTACACACGCGTACAGAGCCAGGTGTTACACACCCGCGTACAAGCTACAACGCCGGTGTAGCGGGTTGGTTCGTGAGTAGAAGATACCGGCTGAGCTGGCAGCTGCCATGGCATCCCCATGGCAGCTGCGCGCGCCCGGGTGGGGGTGCCGGGACCGCGGGAGGAACGAACAGCTGCGTCACATTATCTCGTCAGCGGCGGCGCGGAGCCTCTCCAGCTCGCCCTGCTCGAAGTTGCCATAGGTAGGGCAAGGCCTGTGAGAAGGCTGCCCACCATCGCGAAGAGTAGAGCGCGGAGCACTCCGCTAAAAGGGATCAGCGAAATAGAGAAAAACGCGGCCAGGTTCCGCAAGACAACTGATCGACTCTCTCCAAGTGCTCTCCCTCCCCCTCTCTCTCTCTCTCGAGCGTGTTTTGTTGTTGAACTCTCGCAACCCGAAAAATCTCTCTCGCAACCGCCAACCCGCTACAGATCGAGAGAGATGTTGTTGTGAGAGAGAGATTTTTGAAAACCAACGCCACAACGAGTGAATTGTTACTCGCCGCGTTCTCTGAGTGTGATGCCTCTGATATGCCAAAGAAAATCCACGCGTGTCGTGCCCGCGGCCGAGTAATTTTAAATTTGGGCCGAAGAGCCGTCCGAACCCCGAGCGCGCTGGACGCCGCCTGAGCAGACGTGCGCTCGTGAGCACCTCGCAGATCGGCTCGACAATGGCCGGACGAGCGAGCGTGGCTGACGTGCCCAACGACATCCACGACGAGTACGAGGTCGGCGAGACGCTCGGCACCGGCCACTTCTCCAAAGTCAAGCTGGGGATCCACAAGATCACCCGAGAGAGGGTCGCGATCAAGGTTCCCTTTGACGGCGTAGCTGGGATATCGCCGTAGTAGCCTTGCGGACATCACACACGTCCGCCGCCCCGTTACACACGCCAGAGAGACGACGTCCCGTTGCGGGGATTCGTCCCCACACTGCCTGATATGCGGCCGGCGACGCCGGGGGTAGGCCGCCGCACTCGTCAACACGCCGGTTTCGTGACTTGCCACTCCGTACCGCCGCCGCAGATCATCCAGAAGCCGGCCGAGTCCAAGATGGGCATGCTCAAGGCGGAGGTTGACATCCTGACCAAGTGCGATCATCCCAACATTGTCAGACTGTACAAGGTCGTCGACACGGAGAAGGCGCCTCCCCTCCTCCGGCCACGCTGCCGCTACGCCGGCCGGATACGCAAAATCTCGCGCACGTGCAGCGCGCACGAGCCCCCCCCCCCCCCCCCCTCGCCACTCGCAGGTCCTGTACCTCGTGATGGAGGAGCTCAAGGGCGGCGAGCTCTTCGACCGGATCATTGCCAAGAACCACTACACCGAGGCGGAGGCGCGCAAGCTGACCATCACGATGCTCAAGGCGATCAAGTACCTGCACGAGCAGGGCGTGGCGCACCGCGACCTCAAGCCGGAGAACATCCTGCTCAAGGACACGAGCGAGGACGCCGAGATCAAGATCACCGACTTCGGCCTCTCCAAGATCTTCAGCAGCGACCTCGAGGGCGAAGTCACCATGAAGACGGCCTGCGGCACGCCGGGATACGTCGCGCCCGAGGTGCTGATGCACGACGTCTACTCGTCGCAGGTCGACCTGTGGTCGGTGGGCGTGATCGTATACATCCTGCTCTGCGGCTTCCCGCCCTTTTACGGAGACAACGACAACCAGATGTTCCGCAAGATCAAGGCGGGGCAGTACAAGTTCCTCTCTCCGTACTGGGACCCGATCTCGGCCGACGCAAAGGAGTTTGTCTCCAAGCTGCTGACGGTGGACTGGCAGAAGCGGATGGATGCGCAGCAGGCGCTCGACCACCGCTGGCTCAAGGATGGCAAGCAGGCCTCGACGCACAACCTCTTCGAAGGCAACGCGATGGCGATGAGCCGCAACACGCCGCCCAACCCTGACTCGCCCAAGGAGGTGCGACCTCCCCGCTCTCTTCACTTGCGGATCAAGTCTAGCCCCATGCTGCCTGGCGCTACACGGCCGCCGCACCGATCAGCCCACCCCCGGCCCTGCTCCACGAATTTTCCACGAAAGCGTCCGCAACACCCGTCCGCAGGTCGAGGCGGAGCCAATGGAGGGGGAGGGCGCGGGGATGAAGGACATCTTTGCCGACTACCAGCTCGACCGGCAGCTCGACCGCGCCACCTCAAACATCAACCGGCTGCGCGAGACCTTTGGCTTGCCGTCCGACTCGGAGAGGCTCGGCAAGTTCAAGTGCGCGTACAGCGGCCAGGCGCCTGCTCCGCCTCCCGCGGAGACTGCGGCTCCGTCCGCGGAGACTGCGGCTCCGCCCAGCCGCCGTGCGATTTCCCTGACGCCCGCGCCCACTCGCTGCGCGCAGGCGGGCATCTTGCATGTGACGACCTACCACCTCTGCTTCCTCGGCGCGAAGGCGAGGAAAATGACGATTCCATACGGCGACATCACCACCGTCGGCATGCAGGTGGTTGCCGCCCCGCCGCGCGCCCACCCCGCCCTTCCCCCGCCCCGCGGCACGCCGCGTACGCACCGACCGTCCCCCGTCCCCCTGCGACCAGGCGAAGAAGGGCGGGCTGAAGGCTCTCTTGCCCTTCGCGGCCCCAGCCATCTCGCTCAACGTCGGACTGAAAAACAACGGGAGCGCCACCTTCACGGGCATCGTGGAGAAGGACGCCTGCTTGAAAACGATCGTCGCTGCGGCCAAGGAGCGGGGCGTGACGCTAGGCTGACGCCTCTCCGGCTAGACAATTATTGGCGAGCGCGCAGCGCTCTGCCCGCGCCGACATGAGGGGCGAAAGGGGCTCGACGTCGATGGACATCGTCGGCTCCCCTGCACACGGGGCGGTGCGGGCACGCTTGGGTCGCCGCTGTGGATTAAGTAAGGACATGTCGTCGAGAGGCCGTGCCGCCCATGTTGTAAAGCGTGAAAAAAAACGCGGTTCGCCCGAGGACCCCCAGGGAGGGGGACGTCACCGTCGCGCGTCGGGCTCAAGTTCACCGCGTTTTACGTTCGCCGCCACATGGCCAGCCCCTCCGGCCTCCTGGCGATCGACGAGTCTCGAGGCGGTTCAGGGGCGATGGTGCTCACCATCAGCAGCCCGCGCCGACGGCAAAGAGACTCGGGAGCAAGCGCAAGCGCAAACAGCTGCTTCTCCTTTGCGGATGGCGACGCAGCCTCACCGTCGAGGGGGCCAGAGCTTGTCCTCCAGGAGAAGGGATTCTGGCGTCAGTGCAAGCTCTTCCTTCTCTTGCTCTTCTTTCTTGCGATGGTTCTGACGCCCCTCAGTGGCCCTTTGGGGTGGCCCAACTCCAACGCGGCAGCGCAGGAGCCGCTCACAAGCGGTGGTCCTAGGACCACAAACGGCGGGCGTGGTGGGGGAGGCGGCACATTGGATCCCGTGCATGACGAGCAGCAAGCGAAGCGAGGACGCACGGGAGTGCGGGCGGTCACGCCTAGTACACCCAGGACATCGGGGGCAGAGCCAGAGGCGGCCGAGGGTGAATTTGGCGGAGCAAATTTGGACCCAGAGGTGGCGAGGGAGGACACAGACCCGACGGTACAGACGGAGACTGCAGTAGCGCAGGCCGGTGGCCGCTCGCACCTCTCCAGGACTAGCGGCAGCGGCGGCAGCCAGAGCCATCCTAGCAGGTTCACACATGCCAACACCGGCCACTCTCGAGGACCGGAACGGAGGGCTATGCCACGCGCAAACGGAGAAGCAGTGCCATTGCCAAGCGCTGCAGAGGGGAAGGTTGATAGCTCGTCTCTGCATTGATAGGGTGTGAACGATGGCCTGATGATTGGTGTGTACAGCTTTAGAAAGAGGTCAGAGAAATTACTCGTCTCTCTTAATTTCTCTGCTCTCGCGAAAAATGTGCCTGTGCCCCGCGGAATCCGGGCCTCTCTAGGGGGAAAAATGCGCGTGACCCCGCGCGGGCAGACGGCGATCGGAGTTCTCTTGAAGAGCACCGTTTGAGTTTGTCTTTCTTCGCTGTGTTTTGAGTCTCGCTGGCTGCCGATTCGGGCTCCCCTACGCCCTACCTCCCTAGCCGGATAGGGGGGTCTCTGGACTGCGCCGCCTCTCTCGCGTTGGCGTGGGACCGAGGGCTCCCAGCCAGATAGGTAGGTAGAGGTAGTAAGGTGTGTAGACTCCTGGCACTTGCTCGATTGCTCGGCCCGATGGCCCACGCCGGCCGGCCGGCAATACATAAAGTGATAGTTTTCGCCATTTTTGCTGCGCGGCCTGGGGGAGTTGATAGGGTGTAGAAGACAAGAAGAGTGGCCGGTGGCGGTGGGTCGCGGCGCCGATCTCGCCAATCTTGTATGATTTGGGCACGTCAGCCACGCTCGCTCGTCCGGCCATTGTCGAGCCGATCTGCGAGGTGCTCACGAGCGCACGTCTGCAACAATCTCTCTCTCTGTTGTGCGAGGCGTGAACCGCGCCATTCGCTCTCACCTGGCAACCCTGTCTGCACGTCTCGCGCGCGCGTGAACAGGGCTCCAGGCCCCAAATTACGTGTGAGTGTTAGAGTTGTTTGGTATTGCTAAAAATCTCTCTCTCACGTCTGCTCAGGCGGCGTCCAGCGCGCTCGGGGTTCGGACGGCTCTTCGGCCAAAATTTAAAATTACTCGGCCGCGGGCACGACACGCGTGGATTTTCTTTGGCATATCAGAGGCATCACACTCAGAGAACGCGGCGAGTAACAATTCACTCGTTGTGGCGTTGGTTTTCAAAAATCTCAACACAAAAACAATCTCTCTCTCTCTCAAAATCTCTCTCTCACAACAACAAAACAACAACATCTCTCTCGATCTGTAGCGGGTTGCGAGAGAGATTTTTCGGGTTGCGAGAGTTCAACAACAAAACACGCTCGAGAGAGAGAGAGAGAGAGGGAGGGAGAGCACTTGGAGAGAGTCGATCAGTTGTCTTGCGGAACCTGGCCGCGTTTTTCTCTATTTCGCTGATCCCTTTTAGCGGAGTGCTCCGCGCTCTACTCTTCGCGATGGTGGGCAGGCCTTCTCACAGGCCTTGCCCTACCTATGGCAGCTTCGAGCAGGGCGAGCTGGAGAGGCTCCGCGCCGCCGCTGACGAGATGAAGCAGCTGTTTCCTCCGGGCGCGCAGCACCCGCTGCCCACGAGACCAGAGCCAGCTGAGCCCGGGGCGCGCGCCGGCGAGCAGCAACGCAGCCCAGAGCAGCATGACGGAGCGGCGAATCCGCGCCGGCGCCGCTCCGGCAGCCGCAGCCCCTCCGAGCTCAAGGCGCGGGCCACGCCTCCACATGCGGAAATGCCGTCCCCGGCGGGACCGAGCCAGCGGGCGGCAGACGGAGTGGGGAGTGCACCCTCGGCAGCTGCGCTCGCTGTGGAGAGGCCGCCGACGGACCGCGGCAGCGCAGAGCCCTCGCCGCCGCCGCCGCCGCCGCCGCCACCGCCACCGCCGCCGCTGCCGCCGCAGCCGCCGCAGCCGCCACCGCAGCAGCAGGAGCAGCAGCAACAGCCGCAGCCGCCCGCGGACGCCGGGCCGGGGAAGGGCCGCCTCTCACCAAAGGCGCAGCAGAGGAGCCCCCGCGCGCCCCCCGCGACGCCGTCGACGCCTTCGACGTCCGAGGCCATGTCCTCCGACGCGCCCGACGGGCGAGGGCGGCGCGCGGGCGGCAGGCCGGGCGGGTTCGCGCCGCCCCTCCCTCCGGACCGCACCGCTGCTGCAGCGGGCAAGGGCGCCGAGCAGGCGAGCGTGGGGGCAGCGGCGGATGTGGGCGCAGAGCCGCCGCGCCGGGTGCCTCGCTCTCCTGGCCGCTCGTCGGGCGCCCCCTCCCCCCCCGCTTCGGACAGCCCGCTCCCGGCCGGAGAGGCGCGCTCACCTGAGGTAAGCTCTGCTGCCAGAGACACGCGCCAGGGAAGAGGCGGAGGCGGAGGCGCGGGCAACGGGGCGGGGCAGACTGAGGAGGGCGGGGAGGGGGCGGGCGCGGCGGGCGCTGGGGTGCCCGAAGAGGCGGCGGCGCCCGGCGCGGACCCTCCCGCCCCCTCATGGGCAGCCGCGGTGAGCGGGCGGGGCGGCGGCGCGGGGGCGGCGCCTCTGGAGTCAGCGCAGCAGGCAGCTTCCTCCGCATCGGGCGGAGGCGCGGAGGCGGGCGAGGAGGGCGGCGGCGGGGAGGCGGAGGCGGCCGCGCGGCTGCAGGCGGTCACGCGAGGCATCCGGGCGCGGCGCGAGAGCGCCAGCGCGCGGCTGGCGGCAGCGGCGGAGAAGGCGCCGCAGGAGTCGGTCGCAGCGGAGGCCGGCAGCGCCGCAGCCCCAGCCGCAGCCGCCGCCGCCCAGAGCTTGCATCGGCAGGCGGGCTCGCCGGCGGCGGCCGAGGCGTCGAGAGCGGAGGCGCGGCGGGAGGCCTTGCCGAACGGCACCGCGGCGGTGTCGTCCCCTGGCCGCAAGGCTAGGCCGGCGAGTAGCGACGGCCAGGGCAAGCCGACACAAGCGGCTGCACGCACCGTCTCGTCCTCCCCTCCGTCCTCCCGCTCCTCCTCCTCCACCGCCGCCGCCTCGCCGGAGCGCAAGCAGCGGACGCCGCCGAGGGACGCGGCCGAGGGGGCGGCGGCCGCGCTTGCCCTCACCGGGGCAGCCAAAGGGCGGCCGCGGGCCGACTGCGGCGAGAACGGGACCGCGGAGGAGGGCGCACGAGGCGAGGCAGCCTTTGAAGCTGGCTCCGCGTCGCAAGGGGCCGCCGACGCCGACGCCTCCGCTTGCGCGTCGGGAGAGCCGACCGCCGCCGAGGCCGCGTCCGAGCCCGCCTCTGACAGCAGCCAGCGGTCCACGCCGACGCCGACGTCGCCGCCACCCAGGAAAGTGCCGTCGTGGGCGTCGATCGCAGCCATCAAGCCGGCGCCGCCGTCGCGGCCGACGTCGCAGCCGCCGCCGGCGTCGCCCACCTCGTCCGCGGCCGGCGAGCCAACCAGAGGCAACGGCAACGGCGTCGCACCCGCCGCGGCCTCCTCCGCGAACCGCGCGGCGCCGGCGGGCGGCGCACGCCCCAGCTCTACGGGCGAGCTGGGCGGCGAGGGCTCCTCTGGCGGTGAGGCGTCCGCTGCGGGCGGGGAGCTCACCGCGTCGTGGTGGGAGCCGCTGATGGCGGCGGCGGCGGGGCGTGCGCCCGAGACGCCCGCGGGCCACCTCGGCACCCCCCGCCCGCTCGTCAACTCCGGCAACACTTGCTTCGCAAACTCGACGCTGCAGGCGCCGCCTCACAGAGCCTCGGACCCCCCCCCTCGTTTTTGTTGTTTGTTAGTGGCTCTATCTTGACCCTCCCTCTCTATCCCAGTCTCTTCGCGATTGTACTCACTTACTCGTTCGTTTCATTCTTTTACTTATTCTTCCTCTTCTGTTTGTCTCTGGCCCTCTTTTCTTTTT